AAAAAATGGTCCTCTGTGACAGGACCAATTAACAGGTAAGGCAAAGCTGCCTTCCCTAGCAGAAAAATAAAACCTCGTATGCAGACAGTTTATTATCCGCTTGTCTAAGGAGGCATCATTATGTTGTTCATTACAGCAGTGTCTAGACTGCACCGCAGTAACAAAATGTGCTGCTGGCATACATACTCATACTCTGGCCAGACTTCTTCAATAGCCTGGTACGCGCAGTACAGCTATGGCCTCCCCTCTTTGCTGAAATTCATCTCACTGCTTCATGCTTCATCTTGGAACATAGACGGACCAACTTCTCTGACCTAATGCAGTTAATATCTTGGAGAAGCCATGGTCCATGCTCTAAACATCTAACAAACACATACATTGTCTCACTCTGTGATTTTATTTATGGCATATGCAGCTGTGAGCAGCTGCTATGGATAAGGCATGCTAGAATCTTCTAGTGTGTGCATAGCCAGAAATATCCATGGATCTGGGATAAAAAGGAACTTTTTTGATGCATTTCTTTCTTTAAATGTATAAAATTGGCATTAGGGTATATTTGTCATTTAATTGATAACAGAATAGAACATTCAGCACTGATCTCTTTAAAATAACAGGAAGAAAATATTGTTAATTTCTTACATCTATTTGCAAAGCTAACACACATTCTCTTTTCTTTGTTAGAAAGGCTGCAGATTTCATTAGGTTATTGAGCTGTGACATACAACAGTTTAAGCTACTTTGCTTCGCTTTCAGGTACTACCATTACTTCTAATACTACATCTTTCACGTAAAATGAAGAAAACATAAAGCACGTTCCTATGAATGCTTTGATTAAATATGAAAAAAAACCAAGGTAGGCACAACATGACATCTGAGTGATAAGAAAACTCTAATGCAGTAGATCTTTTACTGAGGAGTGGAGTTCTGTAGGAATTTTAAGTGTATATCATTTAAAACCAAACTGCCGACAGATGTTTGCTACAATACTTGTTAGAGGGCTTCGTTATTTTTATAACCTTTTAAATTCCTCTGATTTATAGAAAACAGCCATTTAAAGTCCATAAAAGTTAATCCCAACCATGGAATTATTTGCCTAAAACGAAATTTCCTCCCCTTGCTGAGGGCTTTGCCGCATGGGGAACTGTTAAAGGGCAGCTGCACGGGGCTACCTGCTGCCTGAAGGCACCGAGTCCCCAGACTGTTTGCACCAGGTCTGCAGGGGCCCTTGCCTCAGTTTCTGAGGGTCTCAAACAAAGTCTTTATACAAAAGTAAAGCATATTCTTCCTTGGGTGCTTCCTGAAGTCAAGCCAAAACCAAAAAGTCTTCTGTGCATACAGAGTGTGCAGTTGCCAAAGATCAATAATATATCTCAAACCCTCTTTCCTCCATCACCTCTGATAACACCGTTCCTCTAAAATTTAGCTTCAGTACCAAATTTTGCCCCTCACATACCAGACAGTTCATAGGCTGGCTTAAAAAAAAAGAAAGTCATGAGAATGTTTTTATAATGGGAAAGGAACTATAGATTATGGGGTTTTCCCCTTTATCTCGCAACAACTTCAAAGGAAATTTTGTTCTCGCTACCAGGTCACTCACAATGAGCACTTACAGTACAAATTATGTAGTCACTAGACAATATTTTAATTGCACAGACCTATCTCTTCAATTAACCATCATGACTAAATTTCATGCTAGGCTGGAGCAGGGTAAATATTTGCTGAGAGTGTGTTGTTTGCTTTTCAGTCATGATGATTAATGCAAGTTAATTGGCAATCAACTCAAATTACGCCAGGACAATACTGGAGACTGGATGTAGGGATTGTGTCAAGACAGATTTTTTCCAAATAGATAGGATTTATGGCAGCCAAATCTTGTTTCAGATTCACAGGTTTGAGGAGTTAAACTACTCTGCTCCACTGGGCAGCCTCTCTAGACTGTGATTTTTTTATATAATTTTTATATCAAAATTTAATCAACTCAGTCCAGAACATGTGATTTGCAAACATACTCTGCAGCACATGGCTTCATAACTTTGAAGTCATGCTATCTGGATCTACCTGAAGTGTTTCAGATCTCCTTAGATAAGAAGAAGTTCAGTTTTTGTTAACTCAGCAGATGTACCAACTTTTGTACAGAAATGGTGAGAGCAGGTATCTTCCTTCCAGTGCAATGCGTGGCTTTCCTCCTGAGCAGCCTGTTGCTTGTGCAATGTCTCTTCCCATCTTTTTAAGGCAGAACGTACTCCTTCCTCAGGCACTAATCACTGCTACGCCTCTACTCTGGTTAGAGGAATTCCTTTCTTGAAAGGCAGTGAGTATTGTGGCTCATGCAGCAATCGGTCCCCTTTCCCACAGCGAACTTTCTTTTTGTCTTTGTCCTTAGGCATCGTTTCGACTCTAGAAAATGGGATACTGGTTCCTTTCCTACAAATCAGGGCTCTGGCTCACAAGCTGACCTGCTACGACAGTGTGGCTGGAATGGAAATACGGGAGTGGAGCTATTTGGTCTAGTTGTTGTTTACTAGAATAGTAAGAACATAATGTTTTAATATCCCAACCCATTATGACCTGGTTTAGATATAACCAAACATCAAAGCTAACCAATGAGAAACAGACAGTACAGCATTGACTCACTCGCTGTACTATTCTATAGATGTGTGGAGACATATAATTATTTTTCTGAACCAAAGTTTTATTTGAAAACAAAAATGTTCACAATCTGACTTTATGGCTTGTTTTCATATTTTGGCATGGTATATTGTATTGGAAAAAAAGGTCTTTAATTAAAAGCAGCCTTTTGAACATTACCCCAGACTTCAATTTTCATCTCCTGTTTTACTGCTTCTCTCCATGTCCCCTCTCCCTCCCACGTATACTCCATGTGTTTAACCCACCCTTAAAAATGTTCATTGCTTCCTTCCCTATTGTTTTGCAAGTCCTCCTCCGAGATCTCCATGCCTACACAACACCCTCTGAAGACTGTCTGTGCGGAGTGTAGCCCCTGCATGCTGTTTGGGGTCTCCTTGCTGTCCCCACAGAGCGAGTGGATGTGCTGCCAGGGCTAATCAGGAATTTCATAACGAACTTTCTGCCCAGCTCACGAGTGCTTTGCTGGAGTCACCAGGAGCTAAAGGGAGATGGTCTCTCGTACCTGGGGGCTGGTACTCAAGTTAGCAGAGCACAGCATCACAGAAGGGCTGAGGCCGATCTGAGACCAGACAGTCTGATCTCCAGATGATCTAGTCCACCCTCCTGCTCAAGCAGGGTCACCTAGAGCTGCTTGCCCCGGACTGTGTTGAGTTGGGTTTTGAATATCTTCACAGACGGAGGCTCCACAACCTCTTTGGGCAACCTGTGCCAGTGCTCAGTCACCTACATAGTAAAAAGGTGTTTTCTCAGATTCAGACGGAGTTTTCTGTATTGTGCCCATTACCTGCTACCCTGTCACTGGGCACCACTGAGCAGAGCCTGGCTCCATCTTCCTTACACCTCCCTGTCAGCTATTTATACACATTGATTAGATCCCCCCTCAGCCGTCTTTAGGCTGAATGGTCCCAGATCTCTCAGCCTCTCCCTGTATGTCAGACGCTCCAGTCCCTTGATCATCTTTGTGGCCCTTCACTCGTCTCACTCCAGTAAGTGCACGTCTTCCTTCTGCTAGGGAGCCAGGATATTACAGGAGAGAAAGGACACTCTTCTGGCTAAGGACATTGACTGCCATCTTGTACACATAAATTAACTACCATTTATCAGCCCAAAGTTCTCATAAAATTTTGGCTTTAATCTTTCTTTAATTCACTATTTTAGCTAAAAAGCAGACATAACAATACTGTCTACTATCAGTGGGTTGCTGGATGAAGACCCATTTTTGCCAGTGCCTACGCTAAGGTTTTGAGTGCTTTTCTGAGAGCAGCAGGTACAATTACCTGCGATCCCTCATATGCTTCAGGGTAAATGAGGAGCCAGACTTTAGGGAAAAGGTTCATTTCCAGTTGCTTTGCACATCTGCAACTGTGCCATTGACAGTGGTGGAAGTCTCCAGTGACTTGCTAAGATGCATATATCTCGGGTGTACATGGTGTGTACAGCTACGCTGCAGATGCATGACGTCACTTTGCATCAAATATGAAGAACTATTGAACAGATGACTCAACAGAGAGGCCTGGATCCCATGAAAGAAAGTACCAAAGCCTACAGTCTGTGCCAGAATGCAGGTGCATATGAGGAGTAGGATGAAGGCAGTGGAAAGTATTTTTTAAATCATGCCAACACCTTTTGGGGATCGCCAAAACAAATCATTTATGTTGTGGTTAATAATGAGTGACATGAAGCCAACTCTGTAGGAAAGCTCTCAGCTCCACCCTTGGAACAATTTAATGAACTGAGGTTGGACAAGGCAGCATCAGAGCTGTAAGCAAGGTATGTGTCCTAGCATGGCGCTCCAGTAACGTGGCTATTGATTACCTGGCACTGTTTCCCCAAGGCAATGTGCCGTGCCGTGCAGGTCAACCAAGAGCAAGCTCGGATATTCTCACGCCACAGTTGCATCATGCACATGAGTATGTTCTTTAAGCTGCACTTGTGGTGCAGGCAGGTCATCCAGGTTCACCAGCCACTTCTAGGAGGATTCTGCCCAAAAAACAGCTTTAAGAATTAGCTTACTGTTCATACATTTTTTGTGGTCTGCCAGATAAAAGATGTGGGTTGTAAAAAATGTCTTCTCTGTACGACATTCGTTCACTGTATGCATGCCATTTTCCTTGCTGTTGTGCTGCGTCCTGATTACTGTATGGTCACGTGCAATCTCTGAAATAAAAGGAAATTATCTGAAAGTTATGCTTAGGTAAAGAAGCACTCAAGGAAATAATAGAAACAAATCCAGTGAATGGCATAATGAAAAGTGTGGTATTTTCTGCTGTAGTTTATATGCTAAATAGTTTGCTACCATGAATGCAGTTATAATACGTATTGATTTTTTATTTATTTTGTCATAGGCTGAGTACTTCTATGAGTTCCTGTCTTTGCGCTCTTTGGATAAAGGCATAATGGCAGATCCAACTATAAATATCCCTCTGCTTGGAACAGTTCCTCATAAAGCATCAGGTTTGTGCTGTTGATACTATAAATTGTGTCCCTGTAAAAAGTATTCTGCAGCCAGTGAAGTCTAAATGTCTTATTATGAATTGCAGTTCTGAAGTTTATTGCTAAAGAAATGCTTGCCACAGTGCTTGACATTGAACAGTTCGTGAGTGCCTTGCCTGACTACAGCAGCATATTGTGTCTGAGCCAAGTCACGTGAAGCTTTTATGTGTAGCTAAATCAGCAGAAACTTGTGCAAAATTGTTGCATAAAATTCATGTGCGTGAATATTATTACTTAAGTTGTGCAGCTTTTGGAAAACGATATCTTTGATCACTGTAAGGAATAGTTATCAAATTATTCTGTTTCTCAGAGGTTGCAGTTTGTGGACATTTTACTTTCAGTTGGGGTCAGGTGTTGTCACCGGACATTCAGCTCAAAGACCTAAGTTCTGGTTTAGGATATTATCATTTACCACTTTTCCCTTACTTGTGCATTCTCAGTCCTTCACTGGAGCTTATAGCTCCACAGCAGAGGCTGAGCCCAAGCTGAGGTGGGGTAAAACAGCTTTCCATGAGTGGTTATCGAATCCACTTTGCTCTGAAGTGATTGAGTAACAGTCTACATGATATGTTCCAGGGCTAATATGTGGTAGTCTCTGGCAGGAAGGCAGAAATGTACATCTGGGTGACAGTAGTGTCTTAGTGATCATGGTTTCATCAGCAGCCTTAGCCAACCTAAGACCACGTGAGAAAAGGAATGAGAGGGTGGGGCTGTGTAAGGATCCATGTGTAGCACTGATACACAGGTTTACGTCTTTGGTCTTTCTTTTTCTTCTCTTTTTTTAATGTATAAATTCTGAAAGTTTGTGTTTGATATCTTCCATTTTGAGCTTGTAGTAGAATGGCATTGAAGTAATGTTGCAGCACAGCTTTTTGCCGTGGGACCTGGAATTTAACATTAATGATTGGTCTCTCCATTCACTGTGGATTGAATGAGTGGTATTGAAAATGGGTTTGGATGAAGAGTGCTATAATATTTGCACCACAATTGCTGCAATTTAATTGATTGCAAGCCCAATAAATTGGCAAGTAAAGACATTTACTCTAAATGGAACTAAAAATGTCACAAAGGCAAAGTTCCTGTTAAGCATTTAGATTATTTCCACCTCCATATAAAGCAGGTGAGATATGTGGGAAGCTCTACACTCAGCATCTTCTAATATAAGCTACTTTCTCCTTTAATTTTTAACTATCTAGAAAGTGTAGACCAAAGTGACCCCCTTCTGATTGTGTTTAGGAAAACATATAATCTACAAGTGAAGGGAGGCCAGAGATGAGATCTCAGAGTTCCAGCAGAAGGTCTGTTAACCATCATGATAGGAGGTCTGATTAAAGCCAAAAAGGACTTACCCTGTTTGCAGCCCTGGTACCTCAGTTCCAGGACTAATATGGGCATGTCCATCGTGTTTCCTTACATGGAGCATGTGCAGTGCACCACTGCATTTAGTATATATAAGCTCTATTTAAGTTCTGTTTGGCATTATAGTTAGTCCACTGTTTAACAGCGATTGATAATCAGTAATAGTCAGTACACGTACAGTATTTGAGGCATGTACGCTATTTAACAGTGAGCCACTAGCGTGATGGTGGTTTTTTACGCTGCCTGCTAGCTGGCCAAAATGCACTAAGTAGCCTTAAATAAATACATGCTATAAAAATAATGAATGGTGGCTACTTTGTAGTTAATTATATAATTTATATCTTCACAAAACTGTTCTGACAAATGTAGTCTAGTTTGGGTGAATCTATTGCGTTAGCAAATAATTTTTCTACACATACACATGTCACAAGAAATTCAGTCACAAGCTTGTATTTAATAACAAATCAAGAGTAGTAAGATATTTCTTGAAAAAGCATTTTAGCCCGAAAGATTACAATCTTAACCTGCATCCTCCACATCCCAGGAGAGCATTCTAATTACCAGATAAAATTAAAGTAGATATAAATCACAAGGTTTCCTTAGGTTCCTTTTCAAATTAGTTAAATTTTCCTCACACCTGCTAGAGCCATCTGCTCTGCAGCCCTGGGTGCAAGCGCTCCAGAAGATGTAGAAATATAAATGTGCAGGAGAGGCAATTCTGTGGCCTGGTGGGGGGACGATGGCTGGCAGAGAGAAGTCCTGAGCTGTGATTCCCTCTCCTTGGTTTTAGCCAGTGATGGGCAAATGTAAACTGCATCCTGAATTTGGGAAGCAGGGACCAGACCTGAGGTTTGCCCTGCCACAGCCCTGCTCAGTGCTTCGGTAGCCCATGGGAGCTTGCGGCCGTGGCTCTGGATGCAAGGGACTTTTGCTCTGTGCTTTGTTTTGACTGTAGTGCTGTTGCTGCGTGCTTAGCATTATTCAAACAAGCATAAAAAGGCAGGGATTCCGGCAGAGTTTAGGGACTTTATTTCTGAACCACCACAGAGCTCAGTCAGGATCCAGGTGCTTATTGCTCACAGGGGGGTCCTTTACTGCATTTCTGTGTGCCTAGGAGTTCGGACATATGGGAAGTCCAAAAATACAGATGCTTCCAGGGTGGGGAGTGCTGGAATAAGGGGTTTCTGACCTGTACCCTCAGACTTTAGCCCTAAGAGATGCATGCCTGGTCTTTGCTCTAAGCATTTAAACCCACAGCCAAATCTCAGGGGAGATCAGGGGTTTGCTACTGATTCAATGAAGTCTAGATATGACTATAGTGCCATCATTAAACTTCTGCCATATCTTCCTCCCCATAACAATTTGCTCAGCTAACTCATGCATATCCCCATACAAGCACTGATTTCCTGCACTTGCGCTGTAAGAAGGTTACTACGGTTTAAGAAGTTCACTGCACTTAAACTATATTTAATCCACTGTAAGAGTTTCCTTCTTACCACATGGTTACATGCTTTTTGTAACGGTCTTTTAAAAGATCAGTGTAAAAGTGCTTCAACAATGAAATTGCTTTATAATGAAAACTGCAACAGACCTTTCAGTCTGTAGGACTTACCAGAGGCAGAATGTGTTTCATCAACAAATTATTCTGTATTACACCAAGGCAACAAATAACAAAAATGGCCCAATTATGACTTGCAAATTTTTTTTGTAACAAGCAATTTAAAACAAATGAAATGTAGGGCTGTTAGCTTAATATTTGGTTCTGAAATCTCAGGCCAGCTTCAGAAGAAAAGAATAAACAATTTCTATTAGCTGGATCTAACTTATAAAGCAGCTAAGAAGAGCCAATTTTGAAGAAAAGAGATAAAATCGTTTCATCTGAAGATTATTTAAGATCACTTGTGACAATCACAGAGGAGCATTCCATAGCTCTGACGTATCGGGCTCGCTTCCTCATTAAAATACTCCAGATTTACTGGTCTTAATTATTTACTTAAACTCTTTGTAGTTCAAAAGCGTTTGAATACTTTTCCTGGAAAGGCAATCTTCAAATATTGCTACACTTAACAAGTTCTGTCAGAGTGATGTGTCTCTGTCTTTTTTTTAAATATTTGCACCCATGATCTTATTTATCAAGTGAACCATCTTGCCAGCACTTTATGGAGTAAGTTTTGATTAAATCAGTATTTTATTTAAGTATCAATTGCAATATCCAAAACAGCAAAACATATCTAAAGTAACTTTTATTCCAAAATTTGTAAGGCGTTTTTGCAGAAGTTGTGTGAGAGAGCCTGCAAAATTTAGACTCAGAAGTGATCAGCTCAGCTTAGAAAATTAAATATAGCCTTCCAGCTTGTTTTGGTGTGTCCTTAGATACCTCCACATGATTAATTGCCTTGTCTGCAAGCAAAAGTATGTTTGTGTTAAGATTGCTGTCTGTGCTGCAGACTGTTGGGGTTATGTCAGTAAATGAGCGCAGGCTCATCTCCTGTGCTGCTCTGCTTGCAGTCCTGGAGCTGCCTATGAATAAGGTGATCTGTGTGTCTCTGTGTTACAGGTTTTCATCAAATGGCATTACTCTGAAGCTTAAATATAAATATTATCTATATTTTTATTATTTTGATGTATGTTTTTATATGTATATAGATATATGTGCATGTAAATATAAATATTATTGTTATTGTTCTCCTTTAAGTCGTTCAGGTTGGATTTCCTTGCCTTGGAAAACAAGATGGGGTTGCTGCGTTTGAAGTGAATGTGATCATAATGAATTCAGAAGGCAATATTATTCTCCAGACCCCTCAGAACGCCATCTTCTTTAAAACCTGTCAGCAAGGTAACGCTAAAGAGGACATGGCAAAATACCGTTAGACCTGGTCACCTAACTTTCTCATGTTTCATTCAGGAGAATGGCTAGAGAAGATGGAAATAAAGTGCTCACACAATGTGTAGCAATGGTGGTGAATGCCAGGCTGTTCTGGCTCTGTCTGTGGATTTGCTGTTCATTCACTACATGTTTACTAACCCTTTTCTTACTGTCAACTATGTCTCCCTTAGCAGACGGGGTTGGAGGCATTTCTCCTCCCGTTCACAGCTCATCACGTCAAGGCCATTGATAGAAATGTATCATGCAAGAAGCACCTGTTAGCAAATGATTTGAGGTGCTTGGAGAAGAGCTAGTCCTATGAAAACAAGCTGAGGCTAACATTTCCAGAAGTGGTACATAATTTGCAGAACTGAACTTCTGGGATCTGTAGTGGGGACACCGACTTCAATAAATACTGGTCGGTGCCTTAGTTCAACAGTTCATTAAATCTCAACTTGGACATACAAACCGAATGCAAAAATCCTAAATCAGAATGTTTTTGCGAAATTTGGCTTTAGCTTCTCTGGAGCTCAGATGGCAACCTCTTGGTTTTGGATACAGGTAAGGTGGTGGAAGCTGGTCCTCAATACTTGCAGTCAAGCAGTAAACACACAGGATGCACCGGTAGAAGAAGGGCACCATGAAGTTATTGCAGTGTTTAATCAACCTGTTTAATCAACCGGTCTATGAACCATAAACACTACGTAATAAGACTTTCTGGATTAATTTGATACACTACAAACAACTATAATTATCACTTTAAACTGACGCTGTTGAAATTGAAAAAGCAGTAACTAAGATAAGGCAGTTATCCCATGTCCTGTGCAATTGTATCAAATTAACCCATGACAGGGCTGATGTACAAAGAGTGAGATGTTTATTCTTCTCCTATTAAATCTTCGTTCCCAGTCCCACACTTTCTTCTCTGCCCTTTTTTCTCTGAGCTAATTGGCTGTAGTGTGGCTTCAAAGAGCGAGCAGCCGGAGCAGGAGCTGTTTATTCTTTGAAACCTCACTACACCTAAATAGCAAAGCTGCTTGTCTCCTTTGAAGCGTTGCTGCTGCCGATTACCCCAGGGAAGGTGGAGGAGGGGGAGAAGAAGTGGACAGAGAAACAGGAAGGAAAATGGGGGTTTAATGGAAGTAAAATCAATCAGATCTCGTGTAGGAAGTTGGGTGTCTGATGTACAACACAAAACATTTGCTATCTTTTTATTTTCAGTTCAGTTCAAAGGCACTGAACTTAATAAACTTTGGAAATAGTGTTGGGGTAATCTAATAGGGAAAGCAGAGTTACAGGTCTGTATTGTGGAAAAATGTGGCTTAAACAGAGAGGGCTCCAAACTCAGTTTGGTAATAGCATTCATCCAAGTTATTGTTTCTGTGCTATTAGTTGTCATTGTTACTATTTTGATATGAGATGTAATATTTAACAATTTAGCAGTACTGCATCATATGGCCTCTCAGGAAATCTGGGAGTGATTGTTGTCCCAGTCCTTTGTTCCCAGAGCCAGCTGAGAGATGCAAGGACGATTTCCCAAACTCTAGAGGTGGGCAGAGGAGGAGTTTTCTCACCTCATCTCCTCCAGCACATACTGGAGGCCCCCAACTCCTGCCCTCTGTCCTGTGAGGTGGACACGGCAGTGGTTTTGGAAGAAATGCTGAGAAGGATGAGAATGTCCTTACCGGTTGGTGTTAGAGGAGGGGTGAGTTTCCTTCCTCTGAAAGATGTCGTTCGTGGTGAGGAGCTGCAGTTCCTCCTGCCGGGGCCCTGTTCACTGTTTCCAGTCATTCTTGGCCATCCAGAAGGGCCCCCGCCAGAAGAAGTGAGGGGAGCAAGGCAACAATTTTGGGGAGAGGAGAGGCTTTGTTGTGGCTAAGAGACGGCCACACAAAAAATTATGTTTTCCTATTTTTCTGTTTGAAATGGTATGTATTTAAGCATGCATTTTCTGTAATGAATAGCAGCTCTGCACTTGGGTACAGAGAGAGAAGCATTTCCAGAAAGAGTCCTAGAGTACAGTGTTGGAACACAATAAGACAAAAAAGCCTTTACCACTATTACTACTGCTGCAAACAGCTTTACTTTTACAGCAACATTTTTTGCTTCATGTATCTATGGCCTTGAATGGAAGAGCATTTTAAAATTACACCTTTTCTCCTCTCTCTTTCCTGTTTGTTTGGCAGTTGTGCACAGCATCCAGCTACCTGACTGGTACATCAGATTTTCTTTCCTTTTGCTTAGTCTCAAGAGTTACCCTTCACATCCCACTAAATAGAAAGCTATAACATGAGTGCAGCAGAATGCTGCTTGTAGTTATAGCAGCCATCCTTTCCTGTGGCTCTAATCAGCTATTAGCTGCATTTTCAAAACCAAAAGTTTATTTGTATATGAATCTAGCTAACAGATATGTCACCTGACTCAAATATTAGAAGAAGGGAGAATCATTCAGATTTGTTTAAGTCCAGGGTAATGTTTTCCTCCGTATTAAGAGGAGTTACAGTTTAAAGAATCTCTGTGGGCTGCAAAAATGTCTCAGGCAACCTAACCCTCTTGAATTTATAGACATCCTGCTACTCCTTACCGCTTTAAACAAGTGCACTTTAAAGGCTATAACTGAATTTGAACTCAGGTATTATTCAGTTGGGAATCGGTGTGAATCAATGGTACATCTTTACAGCCTATGGATGGTAGGTGCTGGCACTTCCTGATGAAATCAGGTGACAAGGCAGTGGAGAAGAAGTAAGGATGCTGTTGGCAGGTGTTGTCAATCACAATTTTTACAGCACTGTTACACTAAAAAAAAAAAAAAAAGACATGATGCCAACAGCCAATTGCTGTCTAATAGATGACCTTCAAGTCTGGGCTGAGATGGTTGCGATAAGATTGCTCTCTTGAGTTTCGGTCTATCTCAGAGTTTTTTGAATCTTCTCACTCAGAGTGTCAACAGCAGAGCATCAAGATGAGCAGGTCATGCCTACTCTGCTAAAGCTGCCTTGTGGCCCTGGTACCACTGATCACAAGTGATATTCACTTTTTCTAATGGGAGTAGGCAGCCTCTCCTGCCTGCCTTCTTCTCTGTGAGAGATCTAGGAAGGTATTTTTGAGCAATTGTTTTTCTACCCAGCAGTCATGTTTTCATGGGGTTCCATAGTGTTCAATTTGTTTTGCCTCTTGTTTGATGGACTCTGGTGTTTTGAGGATGGTGATGGTACCCAGAGGTATTTCTTGTCCTTGCATAATGCAGCCAGTGTTGCCAAACACTTTAACCAGTGTTTGATCGAGAGGTGAGATGTGAATAAGTTGGATGAGGATATAGGACCACTGTGCACGAATGCTTTCATCTTCCTTTCTGGCCTTCTTTCCTCTAGCCTTGAAGCTGACTCTTTCATTTGAATACAGATTTCATCACTTTGTCACCTCAGTAGTAACAGATGTAGTAATTAATGCAATGCAAGTTGCAGTGCAGTCTACTTAAGCCTGCAGAAATGGAAACTGGTCCTGCATAGTGAGAGCAGGTCTAACCAGTGATGCAAGTCCTGCACTGCCTGCTCGGTTCTGCATGGAGGAGAAAGTGCTGGCTTGAGCAGAGCATCCACGTTACTCTTGCACTTACAGAACAGAAGAGCAATGGAAATGCACAGTCTGTCAACAAGCACATCGTGTGTTTGTCTGAACATGTGATGAAACCTCTATATGTAGACTAACAAAAAAGAAACTAATTTCTCTTGAGGAGGTTTTAGCTGAACTTCCATTTCTGCCAGCATTTGCCCGTCTGTCAGAAAACATTTTTACATGCGTCAAAGGAATATATTGATCCTACCGAAAGCTGGCTGACAGCTGAAATATGTAATATCCAATTAAGACTGTCATTATATTTTATGAAGCGGAATGTCCAGGAGGATGCAGAAACGGAGGGTTTTGCAACGAAAGACATGTCTGTGAATGTCCAGATGGATTTTACGGGCCTCACTGTGAGAAAGGTAATTTTAAAAAAAATCTTGTCAACTGTCTTTACTATAATCTCAACAAAACTGTAGCTACTGCACTGTAGCCTCTCCTAAAAGAATGATCTGTTCTGAAGATTTCATATATTTTGAGTCCATACATGTAAGCGAATTACTATCATCATCCATGGTCTGATGGAAACATGAATTGCTTACAAGAAAGATGCTTTCCCTCTAAAAGATTGCTTTTAACAAAAACTGACACAATAGTTAAGTGATCCTTAATCACAGGGAATCCATCTGGTAAAAAGATTAAATAAAATTCTGCTAATGAGGACTAGCTGGGAAACAAAGCACAGGACTTTTGTTGTTCAGCATTTGTTTATTTGGAGATAAGATCTAATTTGGAGGCAGGTTGACAATGAAGATGGGAAGATGAAAGAAAGAGTCTCCTTTTCCTTTCCATTAGTGACTAATAGCCCCAAACGACATTTCCAGGCGTGGGGGACGAAGAAGTTGAGTGACTTGGCAAGAAAACTAGCTTTTCTTCCTATCTCTTCCTTCACCTCCCCCAGTGGCAGACCCTCCCTGGGGTGACTTGAGATGGAGCAAACCATCCCTGTGGGCATCCTATTCCAATGGCATCCTTCACTGAGCTCCCAGATGCTCTGGCTACATCCAAAATATTAAGTACAAAGGATGAGTTCTCTGGCCTGGGGGCCAACTGGGACGGTGCAGTTTGCATTCATATGTTTAATAAACTCTCTTGCTCTCCAAAAAAACACCCTCCAAACTCCCTTCTGGGAGGAGCCCGTGGCTGCTGCTCACCCCGGGGCCATGCCTGCAAGGGTTTGCTGGTTGGCCAGGGACAAAGCTGTGCCAGGAATGGCACCAACAATTTCACAAGATAGATGATCCTATGTCCCCACTTGGCCTCTTGCGTGGGTGCTGTTTAACTCACTAGTATGGACCCAGCCTCACTCCATGTACCAGTTTGGGGCAACCACAAAATGAAGCATTGCCACCTGATGTGCCTCCCTGGGAGAGCCTTGTGGGGTGGCCACAACTGCAGAGAAGGCTTGGGAGAGCACAGGGGCTCTGGAGAAGGTTCACAGGGAGCATGCAGGACAGTTTGGCCACCAAACCAGGCCACACAACAGGCTCCCCTAGCCTAAATTAGGTATCCATGCTTATGCTCATGTATGCAGGGGGCGAAGGGAGGGTTCGTTGTAAAGCCTGCCTGGGAACCCCACTGAATTGCTGACACCTCTGAGCACAGCCCCTAAAGAGACAGTCCTGTCTGCAGAGCTGAGGCACCAGCTGCAGCACCAGCATCCAGTTACAGAGAGGGGGGTGGACTTCAAATATCCAGAGGGCGTAGGTGGGCACTTTGCTCTCCCCAGTTTGGAATTAAACTGTACAAGAGGCAATTGCTGCTCACATATGGAAACAGATTTGAACATAATTTATTCTTCACTCTTTTCATAATGCTCTATACAAATTGCCAGGTACAAATCAGAGATGTAATTGATTTAACCCACTTACAAAGATGCTTTACAAAGATGACTTCTTATATTCAGCGGAAGGAAAAGTAGCTTAAGGAGAAAATGTGCTGTATATTCAAATAGACAGTTGCTATCACACCGGCGATGTTTTTTCTGTTCTTGCTGCTCCTCAGCACTATGTGCTCCTCGCTGCATGAACGGTGGGCTCTGCATTACACCCGGCCTCTGCATCTGCCCCCCGGGGTTCTACGGCATCAACTGTGACAAAGGTAACTGCTGGCTAAAACCCCCTGGGCTCCGTATCCAGCAGCCTCTCTTTATTCCCCTGTGTTAGTTTTCCTCTAGGAGTGGATTTTGGAATGTCAGGCAAGTGATGAAATAAGTAAGTTTTAAAAGTTTTGTGGTTCTTCAAATAGATGCACAACCTGGGAGCTGTTGGAAGTCCTTTTGCAGCTGAACATGCAGGCATCCATATACGCCAGCTCTGTGAAGGGTAATTTAGATAATCACTTTAGTTGATCCACTGAAAGCTGTGGGACCTACCACAAAATTCACTTATATTTCTGGCCTAGGAAAAAAAAATGATCTCTTTTTGAACTCTAGTTTCCTGGAGTAAAATTAGTTTTACTAATTTTTTAGTACGTTAATTTGCTGCATCTGGACACATGAAAAAATAAGCAGGCTATTCATTTTTTGTTGCTGCATTGTGGCTCAGGAAGGATAAAAAGGAACAATCAGTTGTTCAGAACAAGAATTTGGAACAGTCCAAGCTACCACATAGAAAAAACCATGTAGTTCCCTGCAGAAATATAACTGACCTGCTCATGGCAGAGCAGATTACAGAATATCACATTGCATTTATTGTTGCAGAACTATATGAAGTAAAGACTAAATGCAAAAGGTCCTAGTGGACTTTCCAGCAAAATAATGGGAACCTTCCTAGGCCTTTAGGTATGCTTGCACAAACTGTTGTTGTCAGTGTCCTTCTGACTTGTATCTAATCCTTGATGAGACTTTTACCGCATTTAAAAAATGTTTCGAAAGTGCACTGTAATGAGACGCTCCCAACGTCTTGAAGGATTAATGTGAATCCCAGCTGTTTGGTGAAAAGTCACATCTAACACAGTGTAAGTAATTTAGCAGGTGAGAGGCACAGCATTTGCATCTATGTCACGACACAGCAGAAACTTATAAAGGTTTCTTTCTGGTCAAGGCATTAATTAAGAACCGTAGCGAAGCAGCCTCTTGTAGAAGTAACTTCCAGTCCTAGGTTGTGCTCCTTTTATCAGACACTGGCAGTTTCAATAGCAATAGTGACTGGATCCTTCAACGAGCTTAACATGTGAGGACTGATAAAGATGTAACACAGTCTGTCCTTGGGGATCTCATTGCTGTATTGTTCGCTTGTTTCTTTCTATATTGACTTGCCTGTGTGCCTGTGTAAATATAAAGCATTACGTAGGAAAAAACACATTTCAGTCTTCCTTTGTAAACCAGATGAAAAGATGTTAATGCAACTTTTTTAAACCTACTCAATGTTTGTTTATGATGAGCAGCAGAAAACATTAAGGCCAAGTCAGACTGAGTTCATATTAGTGACTTCGTTCATTCCTATTTTATTTGTTTCAGCAAACTGTACGACAACCTGTTTCAACGGAGGAACGTGTTTCTATCTGGGAAAATGCATTTGTCCTTCGGGCTATGAAGGAGACCAATGTGAAATTAGTGAGTAGCATCTCCGTGTGCTTGCTTTCACTTGCATCAACTTATTCTAGTGGCGGTGTCTGAATGATGAAGTGCTCCCTTGCCTCTGCTGGGCTCACAGCAAGGGTCTCGCACGGCAGGTTGGGGCCCTTGGAGAGTCAGATGCCGCATACCTTCAAATGAGTTTCCTACTGATAAGTTTGACTCATTGCTAGACCATCTCATCTCCTACCTTGTTTTGTTTTTACTAGTAACTGGGTTTGGTAACAACCCTCAAGCCGTAAGTATGCAAGCAATACTCTGTGGCAGACAGATGTGCTGCTGTGCCAAGCCCGTGTGGAGCAGCTATTTTCAAAAGTTACGGCAATTCATACTTGTGCTCAGCAGATTAGGTTTGAGCCCGCACCTCTGAAAGGGCTACTATAAGCTGGGAATGGAAGGGTTTGGGGTAAAGGGAGGACCAAACCGTAAGAGCTGAGAGCTTTCACTTAACGTATTAAGTTGCATTCACATGGCAACTTGAAAATCCATGTCACAAGCATCAAAAGACTTTCTATTTTCAGAAGTTTAGCATCAAAGCAATGCAAAATATTTTCGCTCATGGTTGATCTAAGTGTGCTGTGTAAAGCTGGGGGTGGAGATGCAGCCAGGCTGGAAGAGACCTGGGAGGTCAGCTGTCAAGTATTTGATCTCACTAAAGGAAGAGTTTTCTCATAGCTCGGTTAAATTGGATTAATTCTGTAGTTCCCCACTACAGAATAGAGTATGGGCATTTCGCTTTTGAGAATGTACACCTGGGTCATTCTTTCTGAGCTTAAACTTCTAACAGGACACTGTGCGAGGAGCTTCCCCTGCTGTAAATAATCTCACTGACGTTCTCCAGTGCGTGTTCACAGGAGCACGGAGAGCACCATTTGGCCTGGGAGAGCCTGTAAGAGCTGATTTCTTAATATGCATCAGTAGAGACAGGCTTTCCTCATGTTATGAAATTTGTATCATCAAATAATTTGGAAACACGTGGAAATAAACTCTACTGCCAGTATGGGACAATAAATGGATTACTGTGCAAAGAAAGAACACAGATACCCGAAGACCTACATTTTGCACAGTATTTACATGTAGATAAACAGTGGACTTATGTAAATGCTTCGCCATATCTCTATACATTACAAGGCATTTTGCAGCTCCTTTTTACCTAATCAACACTGGAGGTAAACAGAAGCAGTAAAGCTTTATTGTTATTAAATTAATAAACATTGCCCTTTGATATAAATTCAGATCAGTGTCAGTAAGAACAACAGTATGGGTTTCTACTGAATTTACCTTTGCTTATATCAAGTTCAAATTTGACACTCTGACAGAACCTCATTTCTTTCTTCAGTCCCCAAGAAGTCAACTGCTGATACTTCTCAGATGATGAATAAAGTTTGGTTCAAAGTTTGAGAAGCATGTATTTTATGTCAGTGGTGTTTTTTTGAGGAAAATCCTCAGAACTGATATTATAGCATGTATAATTAAGGGTGCTCCACTTAATTGGTCTGTCCCAGGGACTCTTAAGCTCATTGTTGTCTACTGCTACTTGGGATAGGTACAACTGACTTTGGCTTCTTGCAAAGGCTTACCTGTGCAACTCAAATTAATGTAATTAAAATACAGGCAGTAAACTAGTTTCTGTACAAAAGAAAGAAAAAATGTTCAGGATCAGAGTATGCTAGGAGCTAAACTGGGATCATGTTGATGAGAGCAAGGAAAGCTATGCACTTGCTTTGGCTTTTGTAAAGTTTGGACGGCAATTGTTAGACCGTGATTGATGGCTGCTACCACCTCTGGGCACTGCACCAGTGCCAGCACAACAGTGGAAGACTGCAGGAGATATTAGATGAGGCTTAGAAACACCAGAGTAGAAACACAGCTCAGTCTCTTTTCTTAGATCCAGGGCCAGCTACATTCAGTCATGGGGGTCTTGAAATAACAAGGGGAGAAAACCTTTCAGTAGGCAGAAAGCCATCTTCTGAAAACTGCGAAGTTGTTTGTTTGGGTTTTTTTTAGTATTGTTTAAAGATTTTGAGTGCTTGTCTAATAGTTGAATTACTCTCTAAGACTCCTGGGAAATGTATTGGACCCAGTCCACAGTACTAACAAGCATTCACAGTCTTCCATTTTTTTTCTAGCTATAGTTATGCATTGTCTCTAATTAGTGTTTCAGTTTGAGTCCAGAGAGTTTTATTTTGTTTTGGATTCGTCCCCCTTTGTCACCAACTGTTTTGTTGCTTTTTCCATTTCTCAGTCAATAACAGAGAGAGTTATTGCTCTTTCCTTCATTCTGTGAAAATATCTTAGTCCAAAGTTAATTGAGCTGTGCTGAGCCAAATATTTGCCTAATGCAACTCTGTGGAAGTTGGTATCAGGCCCGTTGACCCATATTCTCCAGATCTACCTCAAGAACTAGGAGAATCCCTGGATTTCCTTATCATTGCTCCTTTCGGTCATTAATTAGTTCGGATCCAAATGTTTGCAAATTAGAATACCTACAGGTTCCCTCTCCAGAGGCTTCTGCAGGGAAACAGTGCTTTTGCAGAAACTCTTCTTAGCATGGTTTGTTCTGTCGGCTGGTTATGAAGCTTGTTTCAGGGCTATTAAAATAATTATGCACATTAGGAACAAATATTTCTTTTATATTGAGGAGCCACACATGCATCACAGAAGTCTGATGGGGTTGAGAGCAGAGCAAGCGCTACCTGGGGTATTGAGCTCCCAAGGGGGCAGGCTGCGATCATGAGATGAGTGCATTTGCTGAGGTTTTCAGCACAGCAAGCCAGCAGTGGAAAGGATGAGTGTTGATGCTTAAATTACCATGTGCAGGTCTCAGTTAACATCCGTTTCAAAAAAAAAGGAAAGGAAAGGAAACACTTTGCTGCCCCAGATTCCAGTTTTTGTTTGCTCACAGATTCAGGTAAATATTAGTGCTTAATCTAGGAAGGGCTTTTTTTTCTCTTTTCTGAAGAGTCCAGAAAATGTTGTGGGATTAGAAAAGATGAAAAAAGGTTTTGTATGACAGTGAGAAAAGCTGCACTGGTACCTATGGCCACCAAGGAGGCAAGAGGTTGAGGGTATAGCTCCTGATGGCCCAAGAGTGCCCAGGGACTTGGCAGTGAGCCTCCCATGGCCTGGGGGTGACCTAGCTCTGGGCATTGTGCTCACCCTTGCTAGAGATGAGTGAAGATTTAATTAGCTCAATAATGCAGACAAATTCTAACAAGGGATTGACAGTCTGGTGATGGGAGACTTGATGTCAAGTGTGAGGAAGTCCCTTGGTGTGAGTCAGACCCAGCAGGAACTTGAGTGTGGATCTCCTCCACCAACATGGATCTCCTCCCTCCCAGGCAGGTCAGGGACAAACAGTGCCATCAGACCCAGCCTCTTCCTCTGGCAAAGGATGAATGTGAGGGAAAGTAATTTCCAGACCAAAAGCCTTGAAAAATGTCTGCCAGTTCTAATTACTGTTACCAAAGATGCTCTATTCTTTGCAAATAGGAAAGAGGGGCATGCTTTTTTAACTTGCCTTTAGTTGCTGAGCAGTGGTGTGGAACAGTCCTCATTGCACCATCCACAGCATCGTGGTGCTCCACAGCCACAAGCTGACGGGCCCAGCCAGTCTATTTATTCTCTGCAAGTAACGGCCATACTTGTCAGTTCCTGAGCTTCCTAGTGCTTAAAATCTCTCTCGAACGCCACCAGATTTTCTTCTGCTTGTGCCCCCTGGGTATGGATCCCACTCTTTGCAAACACAAAGTCTGGACAGTGCTGCCTTCCCAATGAAGGAAGCAATACTGACGGGTGGCACGGGGGACTCTGTGAAGTCCAAGTGGCTCAAGTCTGGGCAAAAGCTGCATGGACACACGGGCTTTAGCCGTGCCAAATTATTGTCATATTTTCAAAGCAGAAGAATGCATATGAATTGGAAGCACAGACTTGCAGCAGAGTCTGCCTGACAGATCCACAGTGCACACTCCTACGCCAGCATCCGATGAGTTTTTTGGGTACAAGGCAGGCTTCTCAGACACTTGTCTCCAGTAGGTGCAGGGACTAAGACCATTGTTTTTGCGCTTTCAATTTCTAGGTAAATGCCATCAGCCCTGTCGAAACGGAGGCAAATGTACTGGTAAGAATAAATGCAAGTGCTCCAAAGGCTACCAGGGAGACCTGTGTTCAAAGCGTAAGTACCAAAGCCACTTCATCAGTCCTTGTTGTAGGAGCATCAAGCTGGCTGTACAGTATCTTTTTACACAATGTCAGCACTAACTGTTGTCAAAGTATTTCAAGTTAATTTTTTTCCTGGACATACAGCGTGCACCAGCCTTAAGGGAATTATGAAACCAGCAATATTTTTTACAAAACCCTCCCCACAATTTCTTCTGTAATCTGAGTTTCTGTAAAACAGCAATGTGTCAACTTAGTAATAGCAGTTTAGTAATAGAGAAATGCTTAATAAAATGTCAGTACGTTGCAACATTAAAATCCAATGGGAGCCCTTTGCGAGAGGGATGCTGGGGACTACCCTCCTCTCCTGCCAGTTCTGGTGTACGCTCAGCTCTGCTGTTCCATCTGCTTCTCT